GCCATTATAATGGTCAGGTTTGGCTAGATTATAGCAAATATGTGATATTTTATCTAAGATATAGTGCAAATGTGTAAAATATTATGTACAAATACCCATTTTTGGCAATCTTTCAATGACACATGGGTGGCATTGGCATGGCTTATAATGGAAGTGTGAACAGCCACCCTTAACATGTATTATAAGGTTCTTATCACATGCCCAAGAAATTTGCAACAGACCTTACTGTTCAACAGTGCTTTAAGGTTGATGAACTTTCTTCAATTAGTTTATTGCATTTATCAGCTGTGAGCAAAATCCATCAAAGATCATTGGGAAGAAGAGGAAGAGCTCGTAATATCAGAATTTCAATGGGCTATAAGTCTCTTCAGATTTCAAGCAAAAGAATGGCATAAGATACAGATGGGAAGCAGCACTATTGGAGCTCCTGGGGTGTGGTGTTATGCAGTGAGGCAGAGGATGATGTATTCGAGGTTGGCTGAGTATGCTGAATGCAAATGGCAGGCCATGAATGTGACTGATATTCAGTTTGTTCTGGAGAAAGATTTGTAGTTAAATGTTAGCTTAATGTGAACCTGCAGTTTCTGTTCCCTGCCCTTGCATTCCACCCTGTAGCTGATGGGTGGGTCAGTGGGTACTTTGCAGGAGATGTCCAGTGACAAGCTAGCCCATTCATTCACCTTTCACATGTTTTATTTCCATTGTGGATATGTCTGGTATGACATGAGTATGTATGTCATTTGTCTTGAAAGGCTCATGCATCCATGGGCTGAGATGAATGGCAACAAACCATTGTTGGGAAACAGAATACTCATTTCTCACTACAGAGGGTGAATTGGTCAGTAGTGACTGGCTGAATGCCCTTGGTTGTATTTCCATCTGCAGAGAAATATTTATCTGCTCATTTGCCAAGCTTCTGCCTATTGAAATACATTGGCTCCTGCAATAGCAGAATGCAATGTTTTCCCTGAATTGAACCTTGCAAATCTCACAATCTGCTTGTTTGCACATGTCCCACCTGTGGGCATACCTTGGATCCTATGTTAGTGCAATGAGAATATTGCTTTGCATTTGCATCCAATGACCAATTGCTCTCAGCCTTGCATCTCGCACAGTCCGCTCATTTTGAAGGGTTCCATCTATCAGGATCCATCAAATGCCATGTTAGCAGGTTGAGACAGTCCATATCAACCTTGCATATTGTGCAGGCCACTCATTTGGAAGGGTTCTGTCTATCAGGATCCACAGAATGCTGTTTTTGCAGGCTGACATCTTTCTTTGCATCATTATCCTATTATTAGCTGTTATCTTGTTTTGTAACTCTCAAGTGAATGCTGTAAATAGCATAGCCTGCTCATTTTCCAGGTGTCCATCTATTCAGATTCATCAGCAGCTGTATTAGCAGACTGAGACCATCCCACTATCTCATTTTTTAAGTTTCAAGTTAACTATTCTATGTCAAAAAGCCATGCATTCACTAAGCTTTCACCTATTGGGATACATTAGCAGTTGTTTTAGTAGAATGAGATTATCCTTTGCAATTCTGTTGGCTGTCTAGCCATTATTGTCTTTTTCTCACTCTTAAATAAAGGTTGAATATGCAACATGGCATGAGTGGTCAATTAAAATGGAAATACAAAATGACATTGTATGTACCATGGAGGAGGAAAATGATAGATGGCCTCATTCACCCTGCTGTCCTATCCACCCTTGTCTCATCTGCCAGAGGCCCTAAGAGATTGATGAGATCATCACCCAATGCTTGTCCATATACCTGAATATGCAGAGCCTCTAGCTTGTGAGCCATCCTGTCCAGCATCTGCATGGTTTCATCCTGTTGTATTTGGAAATCATACATTCAATCCTTGTAGTATTGGCAGTGGGCCTCAGCATCACAGAGTCAATGTTCCAAATCTTTGATTCACTCTTTGATTGTGTTGGACATTTGCGACACCTTGGCGATTGGGGCACAGACAGGTGATGGTGTGCTGGGAGTTGCAGTGGTTGCAAGTTGGACAGGTGCTGCTGTTGTTGATGGGCAGGTGTCTGCTTTGAATACAAGGGTTAACTGCAATAATTAGTGTAAATGTAGATTGATTAAACATACCTGCTGCTGTAGATCCCTCTACCTCCTGTGCAATGGATGGGCCAGCCTCAATGATTGAATCTGCTCGTACAGTGGCTGGGATTGGGCAGGAATCCCTGCATTTGAATGCAGGAATACGAATCTCTAAATAAAATTTGAGTCAGTGTAAATACATGAAATTGTGAACATACTGAGTGAAGATCCCTCAGGGATTGTCTCTCCCTGGTTGGAGGTCCCAACCCCAGTGTTGATGGCTTTGGAAGCCATCAAAACATGTCACTTTGGGGGATGTTCCTTTGGACTTTGGGATTCTTAGGCCTCCACTGTTGGGGACAGACTTTGAGCTTGCTTTTTCCCCCTGGCTCATGATGGATTCCATCAAGTTGGAGCAGCAATCCCACCTTTGGCATGGCTACATCGAATTTTGTGACTGTTGCATGGGAAGCAGGACTTCCTGGGGTTCTTGTAGCATCAGACCTTGCATCTGTGGCACAAGTCACAGGAATGGGGGTTGGGGGAAGGCATCCTTCTGGCAGCTACAGCAGCACAACCATATAGTCCATCCAATGGTGGACAAGGCTTGCATTTCAATTGGCCTTGAGGGGGAATGTCTTCATGATCATTGGTTTCTGCTGTTGCCTTCCTAGAGCAGGATCAATGTCTGGATCGATGGGACATCATTTTCACAGCAGCTTTGCACTTCTGCCTGCCTCATGCTGGTTCTTCCTCATCGTCCTCCTTCTCTGGCACCTCATCTTCACCCTCATTGTCCACCTCCATCCTGTGCAAACTATCTGCTATCATTTGCTTCACCTCTGCCTCAGTTGCTTTCTGTTTTCCTTTGTTGCTCATAGGCATTTTGGTCTCTTGAGCAGGTGGGGTTGGTGTTGGCACAATGCAGGGCATAGGGATGCCCAACTGGTGGTAGTCATATCAATGCTTGAGGATGTTGAGCCACTTGTGGTTGGTGATGTTGGTTTTGGAAGGGGATAGGGTGGTCTTCCACTCAGGCCATGGGTGCTCAGTCAAGCCAAGGTCTTCATGCCACTTTAAGAACCTGTCAATGCCAATGAGGGTCATCAGAATCTCATCTGTCCTAGTGATGAGGTTGTGTACAGCATCCTGAATGCATCAGTTAGTGAAAAAAATGTGATGATGCTATGATGCACTAGTTCATTTATTGCCTTGATGGCACCTCTCCACTTCGCAATCTTGTCCACCTTTCCCAGCTTGCTGCTTTCCAAATATCCTTGAAGTAAATTTGAAGGATGCAGTTGGCTGCAGCATCGAGCTCAGGTGATTTCTTGAAGAGCTTGCAAGATGATGATGATGACATGTTTCTGATGAAAAGACAATGGAGTAGTTTGACAGTGAGAGTGGTGATGGTGATTGGAGAGTGGAAGAGTCAGAGGTTAAAGATGGATGAGATACATGGATGTTGCATTTTTTATCCCACCTATGAATGATTCCCATGGCATGATGGCAATACTGGTACTACAAGTCAATAATCCTGAATGCACATATGAAGCAGAAGCTCAGATAAAAATATGATGCATTGTTCTGGAATAGCATTGCTACTTGTTTTGCATCTTTCCTGTCTGCTCCAATGGCGGAGCCTGGCTCGCAGCTACATAGACTAGCACCTGAGATTCCAACTAAATAGGCAAATTGTCCAACATGAAACACAATTTATAGTGGGAAATTCAGATACTCTATAGTGTGAGAGGTTCCACTTTCTTCATTTCTTGTCTTCCTGGGCCCATCTTATATTGTGACAGGGGGATAACCCAATTATGGATAGGCCCATCCATTTGTGGTGAGCCATCTATGATATGATGGATTGGCCCATCTTATGCAGTGCCAAGGGTTTGTAATCCTGTGATGGGTGGATTGGCCTGTCTTATGTTGTAACACTGGTTTTTGTTTTCCCTTATCTGCTGCCTGAGAATACCATGGATGGGCCTGTCCTTATGTAGATCCCTTTGATCTCCCTTTCTGCTGCCTGAGAATGCCTTACATGGACCATCCTTATGTAGATAGCTTGGATCTCCCTTTCTGCTGCCTAAGAATACCATACACAAACTCATCCTTATGTTGTGACAGGGGTGCATCTTGCTAGATGGGCCCATCCATTTGTTGTGATGATATACATGATACTACTGAAGGGCCTGTCCTTATGTTGTGATGCTATTAGATGATATTACTGATGGGCCCATCCATATGTTGCAACAATAGAAAAAATACTACTGAAGGGCCTGTCCTTATGTTTTGACAGGGTACATCTTACTGGGGCTGGGCCCACCCATATGTTGTGATGATATAAATAATACTACTGAAGGGCCTGCCCATATGTTGTGATGCTATACATGAGATTACTGACAGGCCTGTCTTTATGTCTTGTCAGAGGTACATCTTACTGTGGACAGGCCCATCCATATGTTGCATAATACTACTGATGGGCCTGACCTTATGTTGTGACTCTATTAAATGATACTAGTGACAAGCCCATCTTTATGTTTCAACAGCGGTACATCTTACTGTCAACAGGCCTGTCTTTATGTTGTGACAGGGGTATGGCTTATTATGAATGGGCCTGTCTAGATGTTGCAACACCATAAATGATATTACTCCCAGGCCCATCCATATGCTGTGACCCTCTCCATGTTATGATAGGTGGGCCCACCTTGATGTTGCAACAGGGGGGTAACCTACCAGGATGGGCCTGTCCATGTCTTACAGCAACTCAGTATACTTAATTGGTCATGGGCCTGTCTAAATGTTCAACATCCTTACCCACCATGGGCCCTCCCATATGTTGTGGTAATACACTTACAGGCCCATACATATGTTGCTCTCACTTTAGTCCCTTGGGCCTGTCCATGTGTACTGGCTAATCTATTTAGGTGGGCCCATCTCAGGGTCTATATGAGTGTTGGTGTTTTGGCGCACAGGCTGCCCATGTATTGTGACTCAATGTGACTACACTATGTGGACATGCAGGATGTGCACCACTCAACAGCTGGGCATAGTCGACAGGCAGGATGGGCATGCCATGGATGTCAAATGCAGGGAGAGATGAGATGTAGTGAGTGCTGGTGGCATGACTGAGCATGTCTTTGATGTCATCCAGCATGAGCCACACTGCAGTAGCATCCTCTGATGCATGCACATGAGAGCCTGGACCATGAAAGAAATGGTGACCCTCACCATTCTGGGTGATGCTGTCAGGGTCATTGTCATTGTCCTTTTTCTATGTTTAAGATGGTGTCATGAGATACAGTCAAGCCTTCATGCAGGATTGCAAGAACATGTACAGTGAACAAAGCATGGCTGAGATGGATGCAAGGCATGTCATGACTCTCTTGGATGGATGAGAGGAGGGTCTCTCCCTTTTCCAAGGGCATGAGCTTCTCCAATGACCTGATATTCGAGATGATGTGGGGAAAGTCTTGCTGTGTGAAGCTATATACAGCATCATGCTGCATGGTCAGAAGGTTGCATGTGAGTTTGGTCTCTGAAAATTTGTGGCCAAATGCATTCCTGGGGTTGTAACCACCCTCGGGAGCCATGAAGAAACCTTGATGGTTGATTTCAAGGATGCCACTGAGCACCAACTCTGTGACATTGTCAGAGTCGCCTTTCACAATGGTGACATCACCAGTGGTGCCACTGAAGAAAAACTTGGCACAACTGGCCGAAATTTGGCATGGCAGCATAAATTGCCCATGTACTGTCTTTGAGATTTCCCAGTGCAGATGCTGAAGATGGAGGAGAGTCATGGCTAATGATCGATGGCAACACATCAGCATGGTCTGTGGGGGACATATTGACATCCCCAGACAATGAGCTGCGAAAGGGGTTCGAAGCAGACATGTGGCCTGATGGGGGCTCTGTGCAAAGAGTAGATTCCCCCCCCCCCTTAACAGGGCAGCCCACATTTAAAGCCTTGGGAATAGGGGCCCATGTGATGGACATGCAATAAAAAGCAGATTGTCAAAGGACATTACCAAGCATGCAAGGTATTAACAAAGTCACAGGGAAGATGACCAACATCTGTGGATGCCTGACACAACAGGGACTGTATGGCTGCCTTCCAGCAGGCATGCTGCTGAAGCATTTGCAAACATGGGCACAATTGCATCCTGTGATTGATCTGTTATGGCCAAATATGCATGAGGGGATCCAAGCAGCTGCTACTGCAAAGGAAGAGCTGCAGTTGAGCGCAAGCATAAAGCGAAGGAGAACCAACAGGAGTGATGGTGTGGCAAACAGTACTGCAAGATGGAAAACATTGGTGCAAGGGAATGTGATGGTGAACTGCATGACTCACATCACAATACACCTGCACAATATATGCAGTTGCCAACAGCTGAACAACAGCAATGCAGCATCACAGCCTTCATCAATGCTACCAATAATGAGGCACTTGCAAACATGGTGTGTGTTATCTGTGTGTGCAAGCTACTGTGTAAAGAAGGTAAGTCAGGGGACAAGATGAAAACAAGCAGATCTGACAGTGTTAGCAGGCAACTTGGTGGTCATGAAAGACCTCCCCAACCTTTGACATCATCTGACCCCAGCCAACGCACATCCAGTGTGCAAGTTGTGGGACAGTCTTCTTGTAGATGGCTCATGTATAGCAGCAGATGGGAAAGGCTGGGTATGCCATGAATGTCAGTGAGCTATGCATGCAGATCAGATGCCCAAATACACACTGAACAACAACCTGTGGATTGGCAAGGTACCATTGGTGCTGCACAGGCTCAACTTTGTTGAGACCTTGTTAGTTGCATGCCACTATGCATGGTTCTATGTATTCAAGTTATATCCAAGAGAGGCCCTTCACTCTCAGAACCCATGCCATTTGCAATGCACCATGGCAGGGAATATGACACTGTATGAAGTTAACATCACTGCTGTTGTGGATATGATCAAAGGCAGATTGATGCTGCAGACTGTCCAGATGTTGAGTAGTGTCTTGGCAATCACATTGGTGGGGACAAAGCATCTGCCTACAGATTGGCTGTCTCACATGTTTCAGGTTCAATGGGATGTAGTATTTGAGGTGCTGAAATGGCTGCAAGCAAACAATGAGAGCTATAGTGACATCATGGTATCCCACAACTGTGTCATGACTCTGCCAGAGGATGGCATACCTTCAGAAATCAAGGCAATGATTCGATATCAAGATAGTGAGGAGGTGGCAGTTAGGGAGAGAGAGGGGTACACAATGCCTGACCACATGGTGGACAATGGTAAGACAATGGCATTTAATGACCTCATCAGAAACAGGCATGACATATGTTGCACAGCTGAAATAGATGCAGAGAATGACATACCAATGGTGGATGAGGACTGTGAACAAAGTATGGAGCTTGGTGATGCCAATGATGCTCCAGTGCATGAAGGTACATCTGGGAAACATGTGAAGCAAACAGCAACATCATCCATATGAGACAGATAATGGAGAGGTTACCCTGTTACATGTCCTTGAAGTGGTGGATCTCAAGCAGACCAGGGTGCCCACTTCTGAGTTGATGGCCCACACACTTGCCAATTTCAATGATAACACCCAGGAAGGTGGATATGTCATGCACCACAGCAATATGCCAATCAATGACTTCCCCCCATCAATGCAGTCACACATGATGTGCAATCCTCTCAGCACTGCATTCCTGGTGCTGTTTCCCTATGGCAGGGGTGCTATCAAGGCCGAACATCCAGTGAATCTTAGTCTGTGTGAACATTGTAAATGGGCAATGCAGTATCATGATCATCAATTCACAACACACCATTCATTTCCATTCATGGTCTTTGCCCTTAAGTAAAAGCAAGAGACCATGCGATCTGCATGTCTTCAGATGAGGTGGAAGGACTTTGAACATGATACACTTGCCTTGTCATCTACCAGAGTGGCAGATCTTAAAGCAGGCAGCAGTGGAGGAGGCATGGCATGAGCTGATCAGTAATGCTCTAGTGTGGGCCCTGCACTGTCATGTCACAGCAGCGAATGCATGTGTGATTGGCTCAGATAACACACAGGCCAGCTATTGCAGCATGATCTGGGGTACCTGTCTAATGCTCAGAGGGCCCTCACTTTGGTTGACTATATATCCTGTTGACATCCATGACCCTATTGCACAGGTTTTTGCAGGTGAAAACATAGATTTGAATGACTTCAATGTGCACCTCAGCCCTGATAGCAACTGATGTGCAGAAAACATCGCTGCAAATCCTTATGCAGCAGCTCAATACTTTCATTTCATCATTCACTCTGTTTTAGAGGCCCTCTTTGGTATCTGCAACACAGGCAATAAGGTCCACAGCCAGGTGGGTGTGCTCAGATGGGTGGCAGGTTACTTTGGGGTGGTGGAGGCACAGGGGAGGGGAACACTACATGTCCATATGCTCTTGTGGCTCACAAACACTCTGAATGCTAACAAAATGCAGGCATTGTTGCAACAAGAGTTTTTCTGGGATACCATCTGTAACTATATTCACATGAATATCCACATGCATCTCGATGACCTGAAAACAATGCCCCAAGCTCCTCAGCTCACATATTCATGACCACATGATCCACATACTACAGGATGGTGACAGTGCACCCATGAGATTGAGCAACAATTGGTTAGGTCCCAGCAACTTCATACATGCTCCAGAGCGAGGTGTCTTCATGTCACACATGATGGACTTGTTTGCAAACAAAGAGCACCCTGGCCACTGAGTGGTGATGACTACATGGATGAGCAAGGGAACTGGGGTCCATGGCAGATGCATGGGTATATAAATGCATACTGCCTGGCCTTGCTGACATCAATGTGGTGCAACAATGACCTTGAAATCAACACCAACAGTGTGGACACTAAAGACATTGCATTCTATATCACAGCATATGCATATGCCACCAAAAAACAGAAGAAAAGTAACAACCTTTCCACATTAAAGCTGTCAGCACTGCCCTATCATATAAATAACCCCAAGTACAATGACATGCATGAACGCAACTGCCTGTTGATATACCACTGTATCAATGTGATCAACCACAAAGCCAAATTGTCTGGACCACAAGTCATATCATACCTCATGGGTTACAGTGACACCTTTACATTGTGCAATTATGCAGCTTTGTACACTGGGCCATTATTCAGCACAATAAAAGAGTTGTATCCTGAGTTCTCAATGGCATCTGCAGAAAGGTCTGCCAAACTGTCACCAGCATGGCATGATGGAATGCATACTGACATATGTGTGTAAGCAGGTACTCATACCCCTCAACAGGTCATGACAACATCTGCTCCAACAGTGACAATAACAATGATGTCATCATGTTACTGTGCAGTCAGTGAGGGGAGCTATACACATGCTCCCAAATGCAGGACTATCTCCAGTGCAGTGCAGAATTGGACAATCTATCACTTCTTGCATTTGTGTGCAATACATGGGAGGAACAATACTCTGCAACAGATGTGAACTGCAATCAGTGAACATCTCCAACCAAGGGACAGCCTGCACACAAGCACTCCCCTTACCATGATGATCACCCCAAGGCACAGTCACACCACCATGTTTATCATGTCAAAGGACATAATATCCTGCCCCAAATAGTTGGGCCATGGCTGCCCCACCACAATGACAGCAGCACCTATGATTTCTACTGTGTGTGTATGTTGGCATTGTTAAAGCCATGGTGAATAGGAGCCAGTCTGAAGAGCAGCAATGAGGGATGGAGTGAGGCCTTCAAATGTCTGGTGGCCTCCAATACACCATGGGAGACATGCATGTTGGCTGGCTTGCAATACTATTACAACTCAAAAATGGCCTGAAAAACAGCTTCAATACCAGGCAAAGCACAACAACACCACTTGCCAGTAGGAGATCATCAACTGGCAGACATTGTTGATGATTCCTTTGAGGACAGATTGGAATCTGAGGACTGGATAGCAAGTCTCTCAGACACTGATCTTGCCACATTCAAATGTGATCAACTGTCTGCTTGAGAGCAGGTGCACACTAAGCAGGCTATTGCCATAGTGCTGCAGTATGGGGTGTTCACTGCAAGTGGTGTGACACAGCCATCAGAGAAATATTCCTGTTGAGTGGCCATGGGAGAGGATGTACCTCAACTGGAACATTGGATGGTTGCAATGTGAGCCATGTTGGACTGTGTACCTGGTAGCCAGATGAAGATGTCAGAGCAGGCAGAGCAGGATATGGACCATGGCAATGTGGTGGATAATGATGGCATGACTGGCCCCCAAGTAGGAGGTGCCTATATGCTTGTGCAACTCACCACTGTGGAGACATCACTTGAGCCTAACGACATCGAGGATGTGTTAGATGATCAACAGTGAGCCTATGACATTATCAACTGGCACTTGCAGCAGTTTGTCATGGGAAGGTGTCCAGATCAATTGTGTATGATCATACCCAGGGAAGGTGGTGTTGGGAAATCAAGGACAATTCAAATGATCACAGAGAATTTTGCTCATCAGGGTATACAAGGGATGCTTGTGAAAGCAGCATACACTGGCATTGCTGCCTCAGTGATCAATGGGAAGACATTGCACAACATATGTATGGTCACTCACAGCAATAGATGTGGAGGCTGACATCAGGGTGACAGGCATGATACCACTGAATGGCAATAAACAATCAGCTCAATCGATGAAAAGACTAGAGGAATACTGGCAAGACAAAAGCTATCTTATCATTGACAAAATGTCGATGGTCTCTCAAGCTTTGTTGGCCAAAGTGTCCAACATCATATGTCTCACACAAATGGGCACTGATGCCACATCAACAGACCAACCATTTGGGGGGGTGAATGTTATTCTGGTAGGAGACTTTCATCAATTCCTGCTGGTGGCCACAAAAGTTTCTGCACCATTATTTTGACCATGTCAAGTGGCAAAGGATATGCATGAGGAACTTGTGGGTCAACATATTTATGAACAGTTCAATGTTGTCATGCACCTGAAGACTCAGGTTTATGGTGTAAAATATGCACATTTATTTTTCATGGCCACACCACCACACCACTGTGCTCATTCAGCCATGTCATTACTTGTCACAGTCATGCAACTGCACTACCATGCCCTCTCAACCATGTCATTACCTTCCGCAACCATGCCACCACACCCATTTGACTGTGTCATTACTTTTTGCGGTTGCACAACTGCACTACCATGCCCTTTCAGCCATGTCATTACCTGCCACAACCACACCACCGTGCCCTCTCAGCCATGTCATTACCCTCTGCAACCACACCACTCGACCGCATGTCACATAATGATACTATGTGTATATTCATATATGCCTACATAACATAACAATCTATCAATGATTGAATTTTGCATGAGGTATATAGAAACAACAATGATTGTATTGGCTAGTAAATTTACCAAGTGGTGGGTAACACGAATGCAAACATATCAATGAATGGTATCATAGAAGTTATTCAAATCTCTGACAACTCTGATGAAAAAAAACTTCGCCATCTCCTCCTGGACAAGCTGCATCCTTCATCTCCTCCATCAAGGGAGATCGATGAGGTGGAGAGTGAGATTGATGAAGTGAGGGAGACTGACAAGGGGAAGATGGTGGGGAGCATGAGCCTTCACAGTACTTGTCTTGCATGTAGTTGCAACCAAGTTCCCAAGTGTATTCCCTGTCATGTCCATGTGGCCTGTAGTCACACGAGCCATCTGGGCTCTGAGCCAGGCCCTGACTGTGACCTTTGCTGGTCTCTCCATGTGGTAGGTGAGCATCAGGAATGTCGTTGGGATGTTTCATATTGGTGAATGGTATGGTAGTAGTTGTTGAATGCTTGTTCAATGCACTCCATCCAGATGCAATTAAGCTGACTAACTCGTTCCCCAACAAGGCCATAGAAGGTGGAGTAAGAGTGCTCTTGTGAGCAACACTCAATAATCATGTTGATGAGCTCGATCTAACCAACAGTCATGAGTATGATTTTGAAGTAATTAAAATAATGATACTCACCTCTTCTCCTTCCTTTGACTGGATCTTCAAGAGCTTGTGGACTGCTTCTTCATAGTTGAGAGCATTCATGATAGTAAGGTATATCATTCATCATAGATTGACCAAGTTCATCCCCATCCGATCTGATATACCTTCTCATTCTTTGGCTGCCAAAGGGTCAAAATTATGACACAGGAGTGAAAGAGTTGCATACCTTTCTCTTCTTCCTCGCTTGACTCCTCTGGACTAGATTCATCATTGGAGCCCTCTCCAAGAATCTCAGCTTTTATTGCTTTGTACTTTTCCTCATTCTCCACATAATTGGGGTCAAACTTGAGAATATCAATATCTGCCTGAATGCTTCAAATACTAAAACTGGTAACAAACAACAGAAATTCACTGAGCCCTTCTTGCACCTGCAACTCCTCTTCAAGGTGTATGTGGTGTGTAACTTGCTCCTCTTCCTTTACAAGGTCCAACCTGTCTGGTATGATTGGGTTGTCCTTATACTTGTCTTTCTGGACCTGCATAAGCACCTCTATAATATATTGTATGCAATGACTGATGGTCCCCTCATTGAGAACATCATGGAAATGGTCGAAAATGAGTGCATTTGCTTTCAGAGAGTTTTCCACCAGAAACACACCAACCTCACACATGAATCCAACCACAATCTCAATTGAGTCATCCATTCAGTGCTCAAGGAGGAAGATGAGGGTTTCAAGTGCAATAATCTCATGTGTGACAGCTTGATTGACGAGGTGAGCAATGAAAGTTGTTGAAGAATGACAAACAGTCTGTCCAGCATGACATCAATGATTTGAAACAGGTGGGAAAGAATTGTGACTTACTTTGTTGTTACACTTGAATGCACATCAAAACTGGCTTATGAGCCAGGTTAAGATGAGCCCTCCCACTTGAGGAAGTTTTGTGTTGATAATGGCCACCAGAGTGGTGAAAACAGGTATAAAGGGTAAGCTGGACACCTGTGCTTTCATGATGCTGCAGGTGAATGGTCCTTGACCTCATATGAGGTTTTCTGAGAATGGTTTGGGAACAACCTGCTTGATGTCAGTGACGTTGACTTGGTTAACAATACTGGGGATTGATTTGTGCAGCACATCCCAGGATGACTGTAATCTTGACTTGACTGAACATGGAGATGAAAAGTCAGTGGCCAGACAAGGATGATTATGTCAGCAACTAGTCATCCATATGGCTACAGCAGCTCAAAGGTGGTTACTCACTGCTCATGCACACTGCTTGCCTGGCCACTGACTTTTCATTTCAGCATTTATGATAGTAAGATAATCTACTATGATTTTATTTGAAGTAAGTCTCAAGATGTGAGGTGTGGAGGCATTGGAAGGGTGGGAGGTAGCACATGATTTCTGTAATTTGAAACAAGGTCTCGAAACACTATACATTGCGACAAACTGAAGTTACATTGTAAGACACTACATCTCTATGTACAATGACTATGTAGGTATGATTTTGTGGACAAGGCGATCTTTAACACAAGTAATGAATTGATGAGAAGGTGCAAGTGGTTTGTTTAGGTTCATTATATGTGAAAACATATGCCTCTTACAATCCACACCAACCTGGCCAAATTGCAATCCTTTGAAGTGATCGATAGCTTCATCCAAACACCAAGGGTTCCTTCCATCAAGGAGGAGTTGCCCCATACCGTTCCACCACACTGCAGCCCAATCCTTGGCACACCCTTTGTGATCCTGACAGCTGCTAGAATGCACAATGGGGGGAAATTCTGCAGCAACTGTGCAGATGTACTCATCCAAATGGGACCTGACATAGACATATGTGATGTAAGTATCCATCCCCATCTGGACACAGTGAGACTTCTTAATCTTTGTCAGCAGGACTTTGCAAAGCCTAGTGAAACCTCTTTTGAAGATGGCCTGAATCTTGTGCTCAATGCCTAGATAAATGAGTTCAGAAGGATGGAAGAAGTATGCTCTCTCGATGACACAAGAGGTGATGAAGCTGAGCATATGGGCACTGCATTGGAAATGGTGGATGAATTCCAGCAAGTTCTTGAGGTCATCCAAGGAATATTTGGCAGAAGGATGGGGACTAGAATGAGTGAATTCAGTAAGGGTCACCATCAGGGAAGTGCTCAGAGACTTACCACATGAACTTGAATTCAATGAACAAGTCAAAAGTTTGCACAGTCAAATTTTTGCCACCAAGAATAATCAGTTGCCCATCAACCTTCCCCTCCTGGCTGTCTGGTGTGTATTGGCCAAGTGAAAAGATGTCAGTGAAGAGTTTGGACTCATTCACTAAGATGTCATGATTGAGTTTGTACAGCATATTCTCAACCCAGAAGATGAATGTGCCATTTTCGAAATAAAATTCAGGATGGCAGGTGACTGTCACAGGTGCTGATTCAGTCATGATTGAGGCGAAATGGCTGATGGAACAGTAAGGGAAATTATATATGTTATTATTTATTTGTTGCCTTGTGTTCTCATACATCCCACATACTGTTATGTCATGTTCCAGGGTTTGGGCTTCAAGCTTGAAGACCCATCACATCGATGGCAACATTGCTTCCCAGTTCCATCCCTCAGCTGCCTGCAAGTACCACACTGTGGCCAGAAAACCTCATCATGGTGGTCAATTCACTCTCTGACATCTATTGGCATGCTTTCCAAGTGTGGACCCAAGAGGACAACAATATAATTCACCTTGAGTGTCATCTTGGCTTTCTGGAAGGAAACACGATACATCTCCTTACAGTGATTGAAGAAGACCATGTGGGTGCTGACCTGTCTGAGTGGCTCTTGGATGCCACTGAGCTAGTTGGGAAGCTGTATGCAGTGATTGCACGCTATTGAGACAGCATGAGGACTTGGTGAGCAAACTTAAAAAAATGGTTCCCAATGCTATCAGCCTAACATACACTTTCTTCATGCTTAGTGTTTATGAGAACATAGAAGTGCTAAAGCCAGTAGCAGAAGTTCACACCAGTTTATGAGAATGGCCAAAGAAGGTCATCAACATCAACATTCTCAAGGAGGTCATTTCAAACTCAAGACACATTCATTCCACTGAACTTGTGTGCCTTCTTGGAATCCATTGAAATACTCTGTGCCTTTACATGAGGTGCCATGGCATTGAGTGTACATACACTGAGATTAGCGATGCAGACCTCGACAATCTCATCAAGGAATTTAAGAAGAGACAGCTGGAATCTGGACTTTGTTATATCATTGGGTTCATGCAGGCAAAGGGGGTTTGCATTCAGTATCACTGTGTAATCCAGTTGCTTTCTAGGGTGGATTGTTTCAGTCAAGCTTTATGAGACCACTGTATGAAGACCAGGCACAAGTATCATGTCAAGTGGCCCAATGTGTTATGGCACATGGATGGTCACCACAAATTGATTCAGTGGGGGATCATTATCCATGGATTCATTGATGGGTTTTGCCACATGGTACATTTATCAGTCATCTAACTCACAACATTTGTTAATTCATCTTAGGTTACTGCGATACATGCTAGCAATAATAATCAGTCAGTGACTGTCCTTCACATATTTAAACAAGTGATTGAAGAATATAGTATGCCTTCCTGCATATGTGGAGACCGCAGTGGTGAGAACCTTGACATCGCAACCTACATCATTATGAAGAATGGCCACCACTGAGGCTCGTTTATCTGGGGAATGTAAGTATATTTTACATTATTTTTGTATTCGTCATTGCTAATCACACATGAATCTAGATCAACTCGAAATTGTTGTATTGAGTGTTTGTGGGTCGAAGTTGGATCTCAGTTTGCCAGACACTGGCACACATTCTTCACTCAGCTTGAACATATTCACTTGCTTGATGTCAACAATGCATCGCATATCTGGTTACTCCATATACTTTTCCTCCCTGATATCAATCATGATTGTCAGGTGTTTTGAGAGGAGTGGAATTGCCACCCAATAGGTGGCCCAAGTGCTAACAACAAGAGTCCCAAGGTAAGATTTCAGTTTTGTTAGTTTACTACTCTACTCATTCCATGATATACAAGGATATGTGCCTGTTAGGTCAAATCAAGTTTGGCATATACCAAGATTGTGAAGATTGTGAAGAGCTTGAGGGACTTGGCCTCGCTGATGATGAAGTAATGGATACAGCCAATGTGATTGCACATCAACAGCAAGTACATATTAACCATGAAGCCATGCACGTACCCTTGCTTCGAAATCTGTTCAGGAGTGATGAAGACAAGCTAATCTTTTTCAGTGGTCTTCGTGAGGTAATTGCTCAGGACATCACACCAGAGAGTTTCGGGTTGATGCCAGTGGAGTGGGGCTCAGATGGACATCCAACGATTGAATCTATTCACATTGGTCGATGTGTGGCCAAAGACGTGGACATTTCATTAGCAGACTCAATTTGGTATTCCCAGGCATGTCTATGGTGCCAGGCTTTATCCATGTTGTCATATTACTTACTAAGTCTTAAACTTTGATCTAGTATGCTGGCACCAATTATAAATTGCACAGTGCTCTGTTCATCTGTCTTTATGCCCCATTTGTTCTCACCCATATCGATGCCAGCTAAGGAGGGCCTCTGCTGGGGCAGTGATGGTACTTGTGACTGTGAAGCGTTCTTCCCCCAAAAAGACAATGCTGCACACTGCTTGGAATGTCTGCATGGGATAAGCAAGCATTGCAATGCTGATGGTACCTCAGTTGCCACCGAACTCTCCCTGCCATATCTGGCTTGTCAAATGTGGCAAGAATATTCAAAGGCCTTGCTAACAAACATCCCACCAGCTTGTCTCAGGTTGCTCAATTGGATCCCCATCACAAGGTGCTAGCAATGAAAACTTCAAAGCTAGTCCAGAAGGTAACTTCTTCTACCAAGCACAAGGCAAGTATTTCCAGTGGTATGTCTGGATCATTCAGATTAAGTATTCAATTCTAGGTGTCATCTCAGAGGTGTGCAAGTAGTCAGAAATTTCATGTTGGTTCTGTTGCCATCGTAACTTGTGGATTGGACCATAAGTCTGTTTCTTCATTCCAATGTGCAGATTCTTACATCACAAATCAAAATCAAGGCTAATGGTCGGTTGCTGAAAGACCCCTTACCCCTACCACTTGCAGATAGGAAGATATTCATCCAGCAGCTCGATGATCATGGATGTTACCTGCAACAAACGATTGAAATTGACACATCATGGTCCCATGACGATGTCACCACCCATCTTCATTCTTGGTTCCTCAAAGTCTTTGAACATTTCAATGCATGTTGTGAGCAGGCTAATACTGCTTCCCAGACTCAACCTGACTGGCAACTTCTTGTTCTGAATAATGGGAAACTTGAGCTCTCCACAGCTGTCTGCCAAAACAGTATTGTTCTTGCTCATTTCAAGGGACATCAGCAGGCAAGTATAGCTGATAGTAACTTGTGGTTTGGTACATCACTACAGCATGATAGTTGTGATCACTCATATTTTTTGAACAGTTACCTAAAACCCAGTTCCACTTGCTGTTTTCAACAAGTGGAAGGTTGAGTTGGACATTGTGGGAATGGACATTGAGGCAATGAGTAACAATGGAAGTGAAGTCATTGAACTCTTGAGCTCTGTTGCTGAGCTCAACATCAATGCCATGGCTGAGACAGGTAATGATTTCCAGTGCTATCATCTTTACTAACAGAATCAATGGGTTTTCTTTGAGTAGGCAAGAGGTCTTGCCCAATCACCATCTTATCCTCCCCTGAGGTGACAGATTGGCAGTCCTTCTGCAAGAAATGCAAGGATCATAAGTCACGTGTTCCCAGCTCTATGATGACATGCTAACTGAGCAATATCTACAGTTAATGCAAATGCACTGCCCACCTGGCCTTGTCAACCTGCAGGGCCCATTTCTGGGCCAGTGATGGTGAAAGAGCTCCTGTCTGACAGCGATGACAACACCCTGCCCAACCCATGGTCTGCTCAATTTGATCAAACAACATTGCTGAAGGATGATGATGTCTCTGATATTGATCTGTGAACTTGCCAACCATTTCCCCTCCCCTCCCTGCTCACTATACATCTGTCCCTAACAGTAGACTGATGTTCGTAATGATTCATTCAATGTGATTTGTGATTTCCAGCAATAATGTCTGTCCAAACATGTCAAACAACTAACATTGATATGAGACCACCTTGTCATCAAAAATGAAGACATTCGTGTTCATGTTACCCACCACTTGGTAAATTTACTAGCCAATACAATCATTGTTGTTTCTATATACCTCATGCAAAATTCAATCATTAATGTGCAGAGATTGATTGTTATGTTATGTAGGCATATATGAATATACACATAGTATCATTATGCGACATGTGGTCAAGTGGTGTGGTTGTGGAGGGTAATGATGCAGCTGAAAGGGCATGGTAGTGCAGTTGCACGACTGTGAAAAGTAATGATGTGGTTGAATGGGTGTGGTGGCATGGTTGCAGAAGGTAACAATGCAGTTGAGAGGGCGCAGTAGTGCGGTTGTGTGACTGTGACAAGTAACAACACAGCTGAATGAGCATGGTGGTGTGGTGGTGCAGCTGTGAAAAATAAATGTGCAGATTTTATGCCATACAGGTTAGAGTCACTGATGCTGAGTGGTGTGATTTCCTGCATCATGTCCACCATGGCAGCTGCACTGAACACAAGATAAACATGCTTCGAAGCCTTGTGTTGGAAAGTGCAGCATGTCCTCTGACCAACTTCAATTCATCACCTTGGAAAGATGCAGTGTTGGTGACACCACAGCATGCCATGTGGATGGAGTGGAATTCAATGATGGCAAAGGAACAAGTGAACATGAAGGTATATCACTCATCAGCTGTCCTGCTCTGGACACCATAGGAGGTTGGGGACTCACCTTCCCAGAGAAATTTGCAGTTGCAGCCAAACCAATAAGTGGTTGGGGATGCAATTGACTTGAGCATGGAGGATTGTCAGACAAGGTGGTCCTTTCCATTGGCATGGATGTGATGGTCACATTCAACATTGCAACTGATATCAACATGGAAAATGGTGCATGAGGCCACATGGTTGACATTGTGCTTGACCCAAGGGAGTGTGCCAATAGCACTGTGAACAATAGGATTCAACTGCAATACCCACCTTTGTATATGCTCATGGAGATGAAGTATACCAAGGCCAAGACTCTACCAGGATTGTGTGGGGGGGTAATGCCAGTGACACCTATCTGTAGAATGTTCACCATCACAACAGGAATTGGCAAGCCATCAACAATCACTGCAGAAACAAAAAATGGTGCAGATCTGTTTATGGTCAGAAAAGGTCCCTAAACCTAGATAAAGGTGGACTTGGCCCAGCTGATATGGTCGGTTGGCCTATAGTTGCAAAAGGTGACCAAAACAAACCAAAATCGAAGTTGGTGTTGCTAGGAAACACAGGGTGAGCTCAGATACAGATACACAATTCTAAGTCTGTTTATCATCAGACTAGCAGTATATGGTGTTCTGTTTTACCTCAGAATAGATGATTTATTTTTCTAATGAGACCTGTTTTCAGAATCAAAATGAATCTGATTTTCATTGGATTTGCATGCCTAGTAGCTGTACATTGTGCATGCATGCATGCCCACCTGCCTGCCCAGTAGCTACTAATCCTTTTCTTCCCTCCTCCCCCTCCTCCCCCCCTTCCCTCCAGCACACTTAGCACACATGTATCCATCCTTGACACCATAGAGACAACCATCTGGCCCTGCAAATCACCCTGGATTCAATATGCATATTACAAATGATAATGGGGGTATGTATGATCCCACTAAACCCACATATATGCAGTAACCTGAATGAATAGAGCTGTGACAAGGCTTTCATGCGTCCATGACAGCTCCACACATATGGGGGTGTTCCTCCTATGACAGGAACAAGTTCAGGGGTAGGCAGGATGAAGTATGACCACAAACCATTAGCACTTACTTTATCAGCTGTTCAAGAACAATTTCATGTTCTCAAATTCTACCCAGCTTCCTAGCCAGCCTTCACTCCTTGATGACAGCAGCTCAGAATTCTCAGACTTCCATTGAGGCATCACCTATTGCCATGGATGCCCTAAGAACACTAGCTTCCATCCAACAATGCTGATGTATGCAGACTCAAGGGGGCTCCATTGCAACAAGGGAGCTTTGAACACCATGGGAATATTCCACACTCAGAATCAGGGCCTCCCTTTGAAGAATTTCAGTCAAGCTGGCAGCAAAAGAATCAGACACCATACCAATCACAATTGATGCTGCATGGATGGACCTCTACTAGTAGATCTGTGAGTTCCAGTTCACTTCAATATGGCACACCGACTCCAGATATGGCTGGCATTCAAAATGGCAGCTCTGAGTTGAGAGCACTTTCCAAGATTGTGGGCCAGCAATCAGTAACTATAGAAAAACTCATGACTTGCCTTCAAACTGTTGAGGAAGAGGTTGCTGTTCTCCATGCATGGATGGAGACACAGCAAGATGATCATCTGGAATCAAGTAGAGGGAGGAGAGCGATGAAAGTGAGTTTAAATGAGCACTCCACACTCAAGGTTCATCAGCTCATTCACAAACAGAACTATGTATCATACCATTTACAGCTATACATACACCCTCTATTTGCTGATCTTTGTGGCATCAAAAGAAGTCTTGAGCATGGTGTGAGAGCACTTGCTCTGATGCATGTTAAGCCTTTGGACACATGTGAGCCATTCAAGCAGATTGACCAGAAGACTCATGTGTGGCACACAAACTGCCTTGGCCAAGTAGATGATACCCAGAATGCCAAATTCATACAGGAGGTTGTTGATGCACATTAATTATATTTCTTACACCAGTAATATCTTACATAAGTGCAGTCATTTTGGCACATTGTTTTTCCTTTGTGCACCTCAGTCTTCTCCCAATAGAAGACTGAGGTGAGGTTCCTTTATTATGAGTTACAGCTGTCTTACTGAAGCTATTTAGTATCTTCTCTTATTAGTCTGTCACTACTCAGAAACACCCCTTCAGAAGAGGTTGCTCAGCATATCTGGGATGATGAGACAGTATCAGAGATTACTGAATGGTGTCCCAATTGATTCACTTATTGCATTGTAGACTTGGTGCCAGCAAACAGGCAAGGGCGAACTTCCTGACAGTGATTACAGCATGCCTATCATCAAGGAATGTGTGAAGACATACTTTCAAAACATCCATAAGTTAGCAAGTGAACAACATGACCTGTGCAAACTGCAAAAAGCAAATGATCAGGAAACCATTACCCACTGATGCACATGACATCAGGGAGTGGGTAACAATACTAGAGGACTTACCACAAGGCATTAAGGTTGCAAAGGTGCACTGAACTGCTGCCAAAGCCTTTGAAAAAGATACTGAACACAAGGATGCAATGGCATTGATTGATATGGACTTCAGCACAGATATCTTGACATGCGATGAAGAAAGAGCTAATGAAACACTTGATCAATGAAGAAGAGAGGCGGATCTTGGTAGGGAAGCAAAAGTTGGGATTGGGTACACCTTGCAATCCATCAATGCAAGTCACTTGATCTTCATGAGAAAATGCTTACCACTTGAAACTGTTCAACAGTATATTGCATTCCTTCATCATCTCACACTCAAGTCCACAAAAAATTTGACTGCAGATAGTGATGGTACAGTTGACCCTGATATAGCTGCATCTACCTTGAATGCACCCCCAAGAAAATGCAGAAAGTCTGACAAGAAAACATGGAAACAAACATTTGATGCTCCACCTGGGATGATGTATGATCAAGGCCTGCAATTGCATAAGAAGAAACCTGTCTTACCATTCAAAAATATGGTTGACAATGCTTGGTGAAGAAGTCGTCCAGACATAAAACTGCTTGATGGTGCTGACTGGCTGGACAGCTTCTACTCTCAGCTGCAAGAAGGAGCACTGTTGAAGGAGGATGCCAAATACCTCAGTGAGTTGGAAAAGTGGAAGGAGCACAAGGAACATGAGAACAATGCAGATCAGAGTGACATAGAATAAGAGAGGTCATGTACCATAATCTGGGAACACTGGGTTTTCAATGGGAACCAAGAAGGTTACTATGATTTGTGTCATCAAATCTGTGTGAAGATGTAGATGAAATACAAACCTTTGCAAGATCAACCATTAGTGGCACTCAAGGTGGCGCTGGAAGCACTCTGGAATTGTTCTGGAATGGCATCTGCAACTGGCATTGGCCTTGCAGAGTTTGAAAAGTTATGTCTCCTCTGTGACCATGCATTTGGTGCTCTGCTCACCTGCAAGCAATCTCAGGTCAGCCCATGGCATCTTCAAGTGAACAAGCCCATCAAGGAGGATCTGACAGACCCACTGGGAATTCAGGCTCTGGTCATGGATTGAGCAGTAGATCTACTTGTAGCAGAACCAAGGGCAAGAACCCAGCTTCATCCAGCCAGCAGGCTGTCACCACTACTGGTGACACATCTCCTACAGAAGGTCTTCAGCTGAAGAACATCAGCTGGGATGTTCCTCATACCAATATACTTGTCAACTGGTTGCTCACCCATCCCACAAACTGGAGAATCCTTTTTAGTGATAAGATCACAACCATCTCACCACCTTCACCTGACAAGGGGCCAGTGGGCCATAACAAGAAAGAAGTTCAAGCAATTATTGCCAAAGTTGTATTCAAGAATGATCCCTACTATAAGGACATGTACATGGTGGGTCCTGCTAAGTTCCAAGTTAGTGTAGGCAACTGCATCACTGCATCAGTCTCCTCTTCATATTTTATTTGTGATTTTTTAATGATCATTTAGGCTGAAGGGATTGTATCACAAGTGCCATGCATGCTTTAAACAATCAGGGGAAGGCATTATGCCTGGTCACACAAGCTACACAAATCTCCATCATAAGTTATCAATCAATCTAGTGGGATTACAGTCACTGATGTGTATGATTACAAAAGCTGTTCTCAACACTTTACCCTGGTACAATGATCTGCATTCCATCTGGCAGGGCAACCCCTCCTTTTACTCTGACCCAATTAATTCTGAGCCAGACAAAAATTGTGCTGAAGATTTTTTAGCCAGATGGTGAAGTTGATGAGAGGATGTCTCATGTTGGTGATCTAGTTGTGAATGAGGGGGATGAATTTGTGATAGTATCTTTGATCTGGAAGGCACAGACCCTGGCTTTGGGGATGGAGAGGATGTTAACATGGACTCAGTGTCGGTTCATGGTGATCAGGTGCATTTCTATTGGGACATCACTAATGGATCATTGTTAATGAATCAGCAGTCATATCCTTAGCCATTGACTCCTGAAGTGCAGTCTCAATTTTCCCTCCTTTGCAAGTCTCACACACCTTTCTTGGATAATCACTCTGCATTCTACCAATCACCATACCTTCATCCAAGACAACATCAATGGAGGCAAGTTCTCTCCCAGTTGCTCACAACAAGTCTCAACTTCAAAGCCAGGTCATTGACTTGAGTCAAGAGGCTGAGTTGATACTAGCATCCTTGTCTTCTGGTAAGACTGGATGGTACCTGGTGAAAATGCAGTATATGCTGAACGATTGGGAGCTTGAGTTGAGGAAGGAGCAGCTCAGGATGCAGTGGAAAGACATGGAGGATAAGCATCAAAGGGAGCAGGAGCTCCAGAAGCTTGATATCAAGCTGAAGAATGCCAAAGAAAATGCTTTCATGAGGGAGGCCAAAACCCTTTGACTCAAGATTCAACTCACAGAGCTCATGAAGAGTGGCAGCAGCTCTGGCTCAATGTCTTCTGACCCCACTGCTTAGGCCAGCCACCCTTTGTGATCATGTCTGTTTCTTTTTTTAATCCATTGTTGCATCTTGGCTTGGCTTGTTGTCTTCTCTGTTGTACTTGTGTCTCAGTCCCAGTGTGTTGCACAATTGTTAAGTACATGCTCACCCTGTACTGTATTATGTCTCTGTCTCCCCCATACTCACCCCAACACTGTATCAAGATGCAATGTAGGGTACATTTCATTTGCAGAATGCATGTGGTATCATAAGTGACTTCTCCAAGGTCAGTCATAAAGTGCCCAGATCCTGTGAAGACCCCTTATGCACCCTCATTGTCAATGGGTGGGACTTAGCTGATTCCTACAGCATCACTAGCTATGCTCCTTCAACTTTATATGGTGACCATTTTGGTCTGTTTATACTAGGTACATTTGCACCCCAGATATTGGAACAGCTCATCTAACAGCCTCATTTGAAATCACTGACCTGGTGTTCCCACAGCCTCTCCTACCATGACCATGTCACTTTCCTGTTGGCCCAACCCCTCCTCCATTGCCCACCAACTTGAGGGCTCAATGATGCTAACCATCTCCTCCTCAAAATGGATCACCATGTTATGCAAGATGATGCAACACATTACCCAGTAAACTGTGACCTTAACATCCCTCTTGGTCTGGATTTTCAAGCGCAGCTTGCAGAGACTCTGAAATTGACCCTTCAAGGCAGTAAATGCATGCTCAATGTGGATGTGGACCTTTCAACATGATTAGCATGCATACCAGTACAAGGTAAGTATCACCTTAGAAAGATATTTGTTATATAAATTCTCATCATGAGATAGCCACCTGCCCTTGGGTTTTTTAAAAGGAACAGCACACCATTCCTCCATGGGATATGCACTATCTGCCCAGGTCCAGTGATCTTCAGGGATAAGGTCTCCCAGTTGTGGTGTGATGGGAGTACCTTGAAATGCCCATGTGTCATGGACACTTCCAGGGTGACCAAGCCCATAGTCAACCATGAGAAGGTTGTGTGGCATGATAACAAGCTATGAGTGGTAAGTATTCCATTTTGCATGCATTGAAATACACACCTGACAATTGTGTGAATACCTCAATTTTCTGTCATAGAAGCTCTCCCCAAATATTTGGAGCTTTTTGAAGAGTGGAATTGATGAGCCATCTGCAGCAAAGACTCCATTTCTCCATGCTGGACATGTCCATGATTCAGTGAAGGTACATGCTCTTTCCATATCCTCCAAGTTGTGAGGGGGAATATTGACAAATGTGTTGTGCTCATCCAGTATTGTGACCATGACCCAATTGGTGAAATTGATCACCAATCCCACACTAACCCCAGCCCACTGAGCCATGTCCTCTGGTGATGCCACATTCCCATAATACCCTGCATGGAAAAGGAAAGTTGCAAGTTGAATGGCAACCAGCAACTGACAAAAGTGCAGGCATAAATTTTCTAGTTCAGTGTGTTTGGCAGTGCACCTGAGCAACCTTCTGGAAGTGACAGCAGAATCCCTTGCAGTGGGCTCCAGTTGTAGGAAAAGTCCAAGTAGCTGTATAATACAAGCTAGATGGCTTAGGTAACAACAATAAATTGATGGGAATGAATTGCTCATCCCAAGGGATTCTGGACTGCCAAGACTAGAAGGTGGGACCCAGCACTTTGTAGTGGTAGTGATTTGTGACATGTGCAGCATGGTCCATGGAGTAGTACTGGTGATGCAAGCAGTGTGAGCAGTATACATAGTTCATGCACAGTGGTATGCAAGACATGCAGTGTAGACAAAGTGAAAAAGAAACTTGTAGTGACCTTCCAAGTGCCAAAAGGTATCAATCTGTATCTATGTACAGGGCTTTATAGTCTGGGCAAACCCAGAACCTAAGTAAGACAGAGTACAAGTAAGGGAAAGCCACACAACAGCATGTACACACAAGACAGGCTGCAACAGAGGCTGAGGGTATACTACTAATGAAAAGGGAACAGAGACCATGTTAAAGGAAAGAGTCCAAAGGAAGGGAAGCAACTGGAGCTCAGTGGCCATGGGTATAGCATTGTGTGAGAGGGAGTGAGGGCATGGGAAGGTAGCACATGAACAATGGTGGATGCAAGAGGTCCAGGAATGTAATGATAGTTGTGGAATGGTAGATGATAGGGGCTTACACATCCAAGGAATGCAGATGCCTTACAATGGGCCTGTCAGTAATTTCACATACATCATCACAACACATGGACAGGCCCTTCATCACCATCATTTATATCATCACAACATATGGATGGGCCTGGCCCCACTAAGGTGTACCCTGTCAAAACATAAAGACAGGCTCATTGGTGACATTGTTTAGTAGTGTCACAACATATGGACAGGCCCTTCAGCAGTATTATTTATATTGTCACAACATATGGATGGGCCTGTCAGTAATATCATTTAATAGTGTCACAACATAAGGACAGGCCCATCTAGCAAGATGCACCCCTGTCACAACATAAGGATGAGTTTGTGTATGGTATTCTTAGGCAGCAGAAAGGGAGATCCAAGCTATCTACATAAGGATGGCCAATGTAAGGCATTCTCAGGCAGCAGAAAGGGAGATCCAATGGATCTACATAAGGATGGGCCCATCCATGGTATTCTCAGGCAGCAGATAAGGGAAAACAAAAACCAGTGTTACAACATAAGATGGGCCAATCCATCCATTGCAGGATTACAAACCCTTGGCACTGCATAAGATGGGCCAATCCATTGTATCATAGATAGCTCACTGCAAATGGATGGGCCTATCCATATTGGGTTATCCCCCTGTCACAATATAAGACAGGCCCAGGAAGACAAGATTTGAAGACAGTGGAACCTCTCACACTATAGAGTATCTGAATTTCCCACTATAAATTGTGTTTTGTGTTGGATGATTTGCCTATTCAGTTGGAATCTCAGGTGCTGGTCTATGTAGCTGTGAGCCAGGACTCTGCCATTGGGGCAGATGGGAAACATGCAAAACAAATGGCAATGTTATTCCAGAACAATGCATAATATTTTTATCTGAGCCTCTGCTTCATATATGCATTCAGGATTATCGACTTGTACTGTTATTGCCATCATGCTGTGGGAATCATTCATAGGCATGATAAAAAATGCAACATCCACATATCTCATCATCCATCTTTAACCTCTGACTCTTCCACTCTCCAATCACCATCACCACTCTCACCATTGAAATACTCCATCATCTCATCATCAGAACCATGTTGTCA